ATGGTAGCTATGTTAGTGGTGATGGTGGTGATGGTAGCTATGTTAGTGGTGATGGTGGTGATGGTAGCTATGATAGTGGTGATGTTGGTGATGATAGCTTTGTTAGTGGTGATGGTAGCTATGTTAGTGGTGATGGTGGTGATGGTAGCTATGTTAATGGTGATGGTGGTGATGGTAGCTATGATAGTGGTGATGGTGGTGATGGTAGCTATGTTAGTGGTGATGGTGGTAATGGTGGTGATGGTGGCTATGTTAGTGGTGATGGTGGTGATGGTAGCTATGTTAGTGGTGATGGTGGTGATGGTAACTATGTTAGTGGTGATGGTGGTGATGGTGGTGATGGTGGCTATGCTAGTGGTGATGGTGGTGATGGTAGCTATGTTAGTGGTGATGGTGGTCATGGTAGCTATGTTAGTGGTGGTGATGATAGCTATGTTACTGGTGATGGTGGTGATGGTAGCTATGTTAATGGTGATGGTGGTGATGGTAGCTATTTTAGTGGTGATGGTAGCTATGTTAGTGGTGATGGTGGTGATGGTAGCTATGTAAGTGGTGATGGTGGTGATGGTAGCTATGTTAGTGATGATGGTGGTGATGGTAGTTATGTTAGTGGTGATGTTGGTGATGATAGCTATGTTAGTGGTGATGGTGGTAGCTATGTTGGTGGTGATGGTGGTGATGGTAACTTTGTTAGTGGTGATGGTGGTGATGGTGGCTATGTTAGTGGTGATGGTGGTGATGGTAGCTATGTTAGTGGTGATGGTGGTGATGGTAGCTATGTTAGTGGTGATGGTGGCTATGTTAGTGGTGATGGTAGCTATGTTAGTCGTGATGGTGGTGATGGTAGCCATGTTAGTGGTGATGGTGGTGATGGTAGCTATGTTAGTGGTGATGGTGGTGATGGTAGCTATGTTAGTGGTGATGGTGGCTATGTTAGTGGTGATGGTAGCTATATTAGTGGTGATGTTGGTGATGGTAGCCATGTTAGTGGTGATGGTGGTGATGGTAGTTATGTTATTAGTGATGGTGGTGATGGTAGCTATGTCAGTGGTGATGGTGGTGATTTTAGCTATGTAAGTGGTGATGGTGGGGATGGTAGCTATGTTAGTGGTGATGGTGGCTATGTTACTGGTGATGGTGGTGATGGTAGCTATATTAGTGGTGATGGTGGTGATGGTAGCTATGTTCGTAGTGATGGTTGTGATGGTAGCTATGTTAGTGGTGATGGTGGTGATGGTAGCTATGTTAGTGGTGATGATGGTAGCTATGTTGGTGGTGATGGTAGTGACGGTAGCTATGATAGTGGTGATGGTGGTGATGGTAGCTATGTTATTGGTGATGGTAGCTATGTTAGTGGTGATGGTGGTGATGGTAGCTATGTTAGTGGTGATGGTGGTGATGGTGGCTATGTTAGTGGTGATGGTGGTGATGGTAGTTATGTTAGTGGTGATGGTGGTGATGTTAGCTATGTTATTGGTGATGGTGGTGATGGTGGCTATGTTAGTGGTGATGATGGTGATGGTAGCTATGTTAGTGGTGGTGATGGTAGCTATGTTAGTGGTGATGGTGGTGATGGTAGCTATGTTAGTGGTGATGGTAGTGATGGTAGCTATGTTAGTGGTGATGGTGGTGATGGTAGCTATGTTAGTGGTGATGGTGGTGATGGTAGCTTGCTAGTGGTGATGGTGGTGATGGTAGCTATGTTAGTGGTGATGGTGGTGATGCTAGCTATGTTAGTGGTGATGGTGGTAATGGTAGCTATGTTAGTGGTGATGGTCTTGATGGTAGCTATGTTAGTGGTGGTGATGGTGGTGATGGTAGCTGTGTTAATGGTGATGGTGGTGACGGTTGCTATGTTAGTGGTGATGGTTGATTGTAATGGTAGCTATAGACTCCAATTTACACTAAATTATTCACTATCATAGACTACACTATAATATACACTACTATACTCTACAGTATACACTACACTACGATACACTACACTATACACTACACTACTATACACTACACTACTATACACTACACTACTATACACTACACTACTATACACTATACACTACACTACTATACACTACACTATACACTACACTATACACTACTATACACTACACTATACACTACACTATACACTACACTACTATACACTACACTACTATACACTACACTACTATACACTACACTACTATACACTACACTATACACTACACTACTATACACTACACTATACACTACTATACACTACACTATACACTACACTATACACTAAACTATACACTACACTACTATACACTACACTATACCCTACACTACTATACACTACACTATACACTACTATACACTACACTATACACTACACCACTTTATTAATTTGACAGTCTGAACGCAGAGTCACTTCCCGTGAGCTGGGGGGTGCTGCCGTGTGAATGTTGCCCTCACCTGGCCAACACCGCAACTTGCACCTCATGGGTCATGGATACCGATGGGAGCTGGGTAGGTGATGGGTAGGAGCTGGGTAGATGATGGGTAGGTGATGGGTAGGTGATGTGCAGGTGATGTGCAGGTGATGTGCAGGTGATGTGCAGGAGCTGGGTAGGTGATGGGCAGGAGCTGGGTAGGTGATGGGCAGGAGCTGGGTAGGTGATGGTTAGGTGATGGGTAGGTGATGGGTAGGTGATGGGTAGGTGATGGGCAGGAGCTGGGTAGGTGATGGGCAGGAGCTGGGTAGGTGATGGGCAGGAGCTGGGTAGGTGATGGTTAGGTGATGGGTAGGTGATGGGCAGGAGCTGGGTAGGTGATGGGTAGGTGATGGGCAGGAGCTGGGTAGGTGATGGGTAGGTGATGGGCAGGTGGTGGTGCTGATGCTGATGGTGCTGATGGTGATGGTGCTGCTCATGCTGATGGTACTCATGCTGATGGTACTTCTCATGGAGATGTTGCTGCAACGTTTTGTTTATTTCGCGAGCAAGGAGAGAGGAGAGAGAGAAAATCGACCCGGCACGACACGAAGCGGAGAGACAACCTGGTCGCAGCGGTGGCCATTAACAACAATAACAACTGGACACGTGTCCCGTGTCAACAACAACAACAACTGGACACGTGGTCCGTGTCAACAACAACAACTTGGCACGTGTCCCGTGTCAACAACAACAACAACTTGGCACGTGTCCCGTGTCAACAACAACAACAACAACTTGGCACGTGGTCCGTGTCAATAATAACAACTGAGCGCGTGTCCCGTGTCAACAACAGCTGCTACTGTAATCGTCGCTGCTGTAGCTACAGCTGCTGCTGGTGTTACTGCTGTAGCTACAGCTGCTACTGGTGTTATTTCTGCAGCTACAGCTGCTGCTGGTGTTACTGCTGCAGCTACAGCTGCTGCTGGTGTTACTGCTGCAGCTACAGCCGCTGCTGGTGTTACTGCTGCAGCTACAGCTGCTGCTGGTGTTACTGCTGTAGCTACAGCTGCTGCTGGTGTTACTGCTGCAGCTACAGCCGCTGCTGGTGTTACTGCTGCAGCTACAGCTGCTGCTGGTGTTACTGCTGTAGCTACAGCCGCTGCTGGTGTTACTGCTGCAGCTACAGCCGCTGCTGGTGTTACTGCTGCAGCTACAGCTGCTGCTGGTGTTACTGCTGCAGCTACAACCGCTGCTGGTGTTACTGCTGCAGCTACAGCTGCTGCTGCTGGTGTTACTGCTGTAGCTTCAGCTGCTGCTGGTGTTACTGCTGTAGCTACAGCTGCTGCTGCTGCTGGTGTTACTGCTGCAGCTACAGCTGATGCTGCTGATACTTCCAGTACTGCTCCTACAGCAGCTGCTTCTGCCGCTTATTGGAGTACAGCAGTGACGTCCATGGTGGTGAAAGTGGTGGTGGAGTTGGTGGAGGTGATGGAGGTGGTGGAAGTGGTGGAGGTGGTGGAGGTGGTGGTGAAAGTGGTGGTGGTGATGGGAGGTGGTGGTGGTGAAAGTGGTGAAAGTGGTGGTGATGGGAGGTGGTGGTGAATATGGTGGTGGTGATGGAGGTGGTGGTGAAAATGGTGGTGGAGGTGGTGGTGAATGTAGTGGAGGTGATGGAGGTGGTGGTGAAAGTGGAGGTGATGGAGGTGGTTGTGAAAATGGTGGTGGAGGTGATGGAGGTGGTGGTGGCCTTGGTGGTGGTGGCCTTGGCGGAGATGGTGTATGTGGTGGTGGTGGTTGAGATGGCTCTGTCAGTTGCGGTGGTGTTTGACTTGCTGGTTGTGGCTGCCGGCAACACAATCCTCTCGTCACCCGACGTCGCCCACTCTGCCTTCGTCAAAACAACGGGCGGCGACTCTCATTGCCCCTTTCCCCACCCCTCCTCCCGGCCCAATGGCTGGCTGGCTGGTTGGTTAGCCGGCTGGCCGGCCAGCCGACTGGCCAATCGATTGGTTGGTTGGCTGGCTGGCGGGCCGACTTGCTGGTCGGCCGGTTGGCCGACCGGCGGGCTGACTGGCTGACTGACTGACCGACTGGCTGACTGGCTGACCGGCTGGCTGGTTGACTGCCCAGCTGACTGGCTGGCTGGCTGACCGGCTGGCTGGCCGACTGCCCGGCCAGCTGGCTGGCTGGCTGGCTGACCGACTGGCTGACTGACTGACCGACTGGCTGACTGGCTGACTGGCTGACTGACTGGCTGACTGGCTGACCGGCTGGCTGACTGGCTGACTGGCTGACCGGCTGGCTGGTTGGCCGCCCAGCCGGCTGGCTGGCTGGCTGACTGGCTGGCTGGCCGACTGCCCGGCCAGCTGGCTGGCTGGCTGGCTGACCGGCTGGCTGGCCGACTGCCCGGCCAGCTGGCTGGCTGGCTGGCTGACCGGCTGGCTGGTTGGCCACCCAGCTGGCTGGCTGGCTGGCTGACCGGCTGGCTGGCCGACTGCCCGGCCAGCTGGCTGGCTGGCTGGCTGACCGGCTGGCTGGCCGACTGCCCGGCCAGCTGGCTGGCTGGCTGACCGGCTGGCTGGCCGACTGCCCGGCCAGCTGGCTGGCTGGCTGGCTGGCTGACCGGCTGGCTGGCTGTATGGCTGGCCGGCTGACTTTTTCCGGCCAGCCGCCCGGCCTGCTCAGTAGGGATGGTCGAGCACGTGCTGGGCGATGACCTCGTAGGCCAGCATGGTCTCCTCGCACGTGGGCCGGATCTGGCTCTCGGGCAGCAGGAAGCCGTAGCGGCCGGTGTCACGCAGCTCGAAGGTCAGCGAGTAGCGGATGCCCTGGTCGTAGGCCCAGTCAAACGAACCGCCCGACGCGATGTCTGTGGTGGGGGGGGGGGGGGGGGGTGGAATGGGGGGCGAGGGAGGGGAGGCATGAGAGGGGGTTGGTGCATCGGCCAGTAGTCATCTCAGTCGGTCAACCCAAGGCACCTGCTGGGCCTATCCCGCGACCTCCTGTACCTAGCCTGGCACGGTTGGAGCGTAGGTGGTGCATCTGTAGTGACATCGGGTGACGTCTGAGAGGGCCATGGCACTCTGGTTGACCCCGGCAGACACGTGATCCGGAGTGCCTACAGAGAGGCCCCCAGGTGGGGCGGGGGGGCGGGGGGGGGCTAGTGGGTGATCACGTGTCTGGGGAGAGCTCTCGAGAAGGATCGAGAGGGAACGAGAATCCCTTGAGGGATATAAGCTGAAAGTTCAACATCTACAAGCTGGAAGCTCAACATCTCTACAAGCTGGAAGCTCAACGTCTAGAATCTGGAAACTCAACATCTACAAGCTGGAAGCTCAACATCTACAAGCTAGAAGCTCAACACCTACAAGCTGGAAGCTCAACACCTACAAGCTGTAAGCTCAACATCTACAAGCTGGAAGCTCAACATCTACAAGCTAGAAGCTCAACACCTACAAGCTGGAAGCTCAACACCTACAAGCTGTAAGCTCAACATCTACAAGCTGGAAGCTCAACACCTACAAGCTGGAAGCTCAACACCTACAAGCTGGAAGCTCAACACCTACAAGCTGGAAGCTCAACACCTACAAGCTGGAAACTCAACACCTACAAGCTGGAAGCTCAACACCTACAAGCTGGAAGCTCAACACCTACAAGCTGGAAGCTCAACACCTACAAGCTGGAAACTCAACACCTACAAGCTGGAAGCTCAACACCTACAAGCTGGAAGCTCAACACCTACAAGCTGGAAGCTCAACATCTACAAGCTGGAAGCTCAACGTCTAGAATCTGGAAGCTCAACATCTACAAGCTGGAAGCTCAACATCTACAAGCTGGAAGTTCAACATCTACAAGCGGGAAGCTCAACATTTACAAGCTGGAAGCTCAACACCTACAAGCTGGAAGCTCAACATCTACAAGCTGGAAACTCAACATCTACAAGCTGGAAATTCAACATCTACAAGCTGGAAACTCAACATCTACAAGCTGGAAGCTCAACGTCTACAAGCTGGAAGCTCAACATCTACAAGCTGGAAGCTCAACATCTACAAGCTGGAAGCTCAACATCTACAAGCTGGAAGCTCAACATCTCTACAAGCTGGAAGCTCAACATCTACAAGCTGGAAGCTCAACATCTACAAGCTGGAAGCTCAACACCTACAAGCAGGAAGTTCAACATCTACAAGCAGAAAGCTCAACACCTACAAGCTGGAAGCTCAACATCTACAAGCTGGAAGCTCAACGTCTACAATCTGGAAGCTCAACATCTACAAGCTGGAAGTTCAACACCTACAAGCTGGAAGTTCAACATCTACAAGCAGGAAGCTCAACATCTACAAGCTGGAAGCTCAACATCTACAAGCTGGAAGCTCAACATCTACAAACTGGAAGCTCAACATCTACAAGCTGGAAGCTCAACGTCTACAAGCTGGAAGCTCAACACCTACAAGCTGGAAGCTCAACATCTACAAGCTGGAAGCTCAACATCTACAAGCTGGAAGCTCAACATCTACAAGCTGGAAGCTCAACGTCTACAAGCTGGAAGCTCAACACCTACAAGCTGGAAGCTCAACATCTACAAGCTGGAAGCTCAACATCTACAAGCTGGAAGCTCAACATCTACAAGCTGGAAGCTCAACATCTATAAGCTGGAAGCTCAACATCTACAAGCTGGAAGCTCAACGTCTACAAGCTGGAAGCTCAACACCTACAAGCTGGAAGCTCAACATCTACAAGCTGGAAGCTCAACATCTACAAGCTGGAAGCTCAACATCTACAAGCTGGAAGCTCAACATCTACAAGCTAGAAGCTCAACATCTACACGCTAGAAGCTCAACATCTACAATCTGGAAGTTCAACATCTACAAGCTAGAAGCTCAACATCTACAAACTGGAAGCTCAACATCTACAAGCTGGAAGCTCAACACCTACAAGCAAGAAGCTCAACATCTACAAGCTGGAAGCTCTACATCTCAGGCTGAGGCACAACCACGTGATCGGAGACCCGAGTGAGGGTCCGACCCTTCGTAGCTGTAACTCCTCGGTATAGAGTAGTTAGCTAGGTGGTCGGGCCCTCATTCGTGTTACAAATCAACGTGTTGCCTCTAGAAGGAACAACGTGTGCGACTCAGTCGGACTCGCTGCACATCTGCCAGTCATCTCAGTCAGTCGACCCCATGGCCACTGCTGGGTCTGTCCCGTGACCTCCTGATGCCAGCAAGAGCCTTCGACACTTCACGTGGCCTCAACGTGCACCCAGCCTGGCACGGGCACCGTGGTCATGTCACCGCCGCTTGGTGGCGAGTGGCGACTTGTTGTTGGTGGTGCGTGTGTGGTGTGTGCATGCGGCAGAGCGTGTGGTGAGCGTGTGGTGAGTGTGTGGTGAGCTCACAGATGGTGGTTGAAGCAGGCCCGTAGCGGTACTGCGTGCCGTAGGCACTGGACAGGGCCGTGGTAGCGCGCTTAGCCAGCGCACTCTGTAACGGCACAACAACAACAACATCGCATCAACAACACAACATCAACAACACACGCACATATCTTCAACCCATCAACAGCAACATCTCGTCATCAACAACACAACAACATATCGTCATCCCATCAACAACACATCAATAACATCAACACCACCATCACCATCAAGAACAACATCATTAGTATCAATATCATTATCATCATCAGTATCAACATGATCATCATCAACATCAGTATCAATATCATCAGTATTAACATGATCATCATCAACATCAGTATCATCATCAACAACATAATCATCAACATCATTATCAACATCAACACCACCACCATCAACAACATCATCATCAGTATCATCACCATCAACAACATCATCAACATCATCATCAGTATCATCAGTATCATCAGTATCATCAACAACAACATAATCATCAACACCACCAACACCACCAACAACAAGTCGCCATTCGCCACTAAGTGGCGGTGACGTCACCACGGTGCCCGTGCCAGGCTGGATGCACCTTGAGGCCCCTACGTGAAGTGTCGAAGGCCTCGCTGTTAGGAGGAGGTCACGGGACAGACCCAGCAGGTGCCATGGGTTGACTGCTGTGCCAGGCTAGGTGCAGGAGGTCACGGGACAGACCCAGCAGGTGCCATGGGTTGACTGCTGTGCCAGGCTAGGTGCAGGAGCTCACGGGGCAGACCCAGCAGGTGCCATGGATTGACTGCTGTGCCAGGCTAGGTGCAGGAGGTCACGGGGCAGACCCAGCAGGTGCCATGAGGTTGACCGAGATGACCGTCCGATGCGGCACCTGTGCACCCTAATGTACCAGGCTAGGTGCAGGTCACGTGACAGATGCAGCAGGTGCCATGAGGTTGACCGAGATCACCATCCGATGCACCGCCTGTGCCCCCTGCTTGTGCCAACTTGGCACGTCAACACCACCACCACCACCAAACACCACCACTACGACCAGCAAACACAATCAATTACCAACTCGTCGTTGTGCTCGCTCTGCTGGTAGGAGCCCGCGTAGGGCAGCAGCAGCAGCTGCGAGTACGCGTGCATCGAGATGTAGGCGCTGATGGAGGAGGAGGTGGAGGAGGAGGAACGCCCTCGCAGGAAGGCCGCCACTGCCTTCACCTCGGGCTCCGACTCGGCCGAAGAGCCACAGAAGGTCTCGTCGCACGGGTTGGGTGACGCTCCCGCCACTGGAGGGGGTGGGGGGGGTCAAGGGGGGTCAAGCGGGGTCAAGGGGGGTCAAGGGGGTCAAGGGGGGAGAACGAGAAACTCCACGTGCGCACGCGAACTTCCACGGTGGAGTTCACAGAATCACGATCGAAGTGGAGTCTGCGTCTTTCTCTCTCATCATCATCACGGTGGCTAGGAGATGTTGACTACCTCGCCTGGTCTACAGGAGGTCGTGGGTTCGATCCCGACTCTGTCGACGCCTGCTGCTGCTGCTGTAGATTTGGAGTCTGCGTCTTTCTCTCTCATCATCATCACGGTGGCTAGGAGATGTTGACTACCTCGCCTGGTCTACAGGAGGTCCTGGGTTCGATCCAGACCCTGACACCTGCTGTATAATTGGAGTCTGCGTCTTTCTCTCTCATCATCATCACGGTGGCTATGAGATGTTGACTACCTCGCCTGGTATACAGGAGGTCGTGGGTTCGATCCCGACTCTGTCGACGCCTGCTGCTGCTGCTGTGATATTTGGAGTCTGCGTCTCTCTCTCATCATCATCATCACGGTGGCTAGGAGATGTTGACTACCTCGCCTGGTATACAGGAGGTCCTGGGTTCGATCCAGACCCTGACACCTGCTGTATAATTGGAGTCTGCGTCTTTCTCTCTCATTAACATCATCACGGTGGCTAGGAGATGTTGACTACCTCGCCTGGTCTACAGGAGGTCGTGGGTTCGATCCCGACTCTGTCGACGCCTGCTGCTGCTGCTGTAGATTTGGAGTCTGCGTCTTTCTCTCTCATCATCATCACGGTGGCTAGGAGATGTTGACTACCTCGCCTGGTCTACAGGAGGTCCTGGGTTCGATCCAGACCCTGACACCTGCTGTATAATTGGAGTCTGCGTCTTTCTCTCTCATTAACATCATCACGGTGGCTAGGAGATGTTGACTACCTCGCCTGGTCTACAGGAGGTCGTGGGGTCGATCCCGACTCTGTCGACGCCTGCTGCTGCTGTAGATTTGGAGTCTGCGTCTCTCTCTCATCATCATCACGGTGGCTAGGAGATGTTGACTACCTCGCCTCGTTTACAGGAGGTCGTGGGTTCGATCCCGACTCTATCGACGCTTGCTGCTGTATATTTGGAGTCTGCGTGTCTCTCTCTCTCTCATCATCATCACGGTGGCTATGAGATGTTGACTACCTCGCCTCGTTTACAGGAGGTCGTGGGTTCGATCCCGACTCTGTCGACGCCTGCTGCTGCTGCTGCTGTGATATTTGGAGTCTGCGTCTCTCTCTCTCTGTGTGTCTCTCCACGCGGTCGCGTGGATTTTTCTCTCTGGGTCTCCCGGGTTTCCCCCTCCACGTTGAGAATCGAGGTCACCGGCGGCGTTCCGGAGGCATTTGGCTACTGCTACACATTTCCACGCGATGAAGAAGGGCCAAGTTCGTTGAGCCATCGTTTGTGATGGCCACGTGGCAACTGAAAACGAACAGCGCAGCTCTCTGCGGCCTTACCTGGCAAAAAGAAAATTTAGCGAGCACTGCGAGGAGCGGTGGTGCAGCGGTTAGCGCTACGCTGCGAACCCGGGCAGCCCCGGTTCGACTCCCGCTCACGGCCAACGCCCGGTGACGATTATCTGAACTCGTCCTGTGCCTCCCCTAGGTCGACTCGGCCTCAAATGAGTAGCTGGCGTAGCGGTGGTGTAGTAGTAAACGTCGCCACTGGGGAGACAAAGGCGGCCGGGTGTGGTGCTGCTGGCCACCCACCCCCCTCGTGTGCCACAGTGCCGGTAGCCTTCATAGGTGCTGCTCGCTAACAGCACTTGCCCTGACAGTCCGTTAGAGCTACACGGGGGACCTTTGTCTTTGGTGCATCTGCCACTCATCTCAGTCGGTCAAGCTCATGGCACCTGCTGGGTCTGCCCCGTGACCTCCTGCACCTAGCCTGGCACAGTAGGGGGCACAGGTGGTGCATCAGCCAGTAGTCATCTCAGTCAGCCAACCTCATGGCACCTGCTGGGTCTGTCCCCGTGACCTCCTGCCAGCAGCGAGAGCCTTCGACACTTCACGTGGGGGCCTCAAAGTGCACCTAGCCTGGCACGGGCGTCAGAGTGGTGACGTCGCCGCCACTTAGCGGCGATTGTTGTATGCGGTTGTTGTTGTTGTGGTTGTTGTTGTAGTTGTTGTTGTGGTTGTTGTTGTAGTTGTTGTTGTTTGTTGTTGTGGTTGTTGTGGTTGTTGTTGTGGTTGTTGTAGTTGTTGTTGTGTATTCCGTACGGCACCAGTTGGAGTCCCAGTTGCGGTTGGGGTCGGTGCCGATGCAGGTGCTCCCAGGGTTGGGAGATCTCGTCTTACGCCACATGCGGTCCTAGAGAGACACACGGAGACACACAGAGACATACAGAGACACACAGAGACATACAGAGACATACAGAGATACACAGAGACACACGGAGACATACAGAGACATACAGAGACATACAGAGACACACAGAGACATACGTCTTACGCCACGTGCGGTCCTAGAGAGACACACAGAGACACACAGAGACATACAGAGACATACAGAGACACACAGAGACACACAGACATACAGAGACACACAGAGACATACAGAGACATACAGAGACACACAGAGACACTCAGACATACAGAGACACACAGAGACATACAGAGACATACAGAGACACACAGAGACATACAGAGACACACAGAGACACACAGACATACAGAGACACACAGAGACATACAGAGACATACAGAGACACACAGAGACATACAGAGACACACAGAGACATACATCTTACGCCACGTGCGGTCCTAGAGAGACACACAGAGACACACAGAGACACACAGAGACATACAGAGACATACAGAGACACACAGAGACACACGTCTTACGCCACGTGCGGTCCTAGAGAGACATACAGAGACACACAGAGACACACGGAGACACACAGAGACATACAGAGACATACAGAGACACACAGAGACATACAGAGACACACAGAGACATACAGAGACATACAGAGACATACAGAGACACACGGAGACACACAGAGACATACAGAGACATACAGAGACACACGGAGACACACAGAGACATACAGAGACATACAGAGACACACAGAGACACACGGAGACACACAGAGACATACAGAGACATACAGAGACACACAGAGACATACAGAGACACACAGAGATACACAGACATACAGAGACATACAGAGACACAGGGAGACACACAGAGACACACGTCTTACGCCACGTGCGGTCCTAAAGAGACACACGGAGACAGACAGAGACACACAGAAATACATGGAGACACACGGAGACACACAGAGACATACAGAGACACACAGAGACACACAGAGACATACAGAGACATACAGAGACACACGTCTTACGCCACGTGCGGTCCTAGAGAGACACACAGAGACACACAGAGACACACGGAGACACACAGAGACATACAGAGACACACAGAGACATACAGAGACACACAGAGACACACAGAGACACACAGAGACACACGGAGACACACAGAGACACACGGAGACACACAGAGACATACAGAGACATACAGAGACACACAGAGACATACAGAGACACACAGAAACACACGTCTTACGCCACGTGCGGTCCTAGAGAGACACACAGAGACACACAGAGACACACAGAGACACAGAGACATACAGAGACATACAGAGACACATGGAGACACCCAGAGACACACAGAGATACACAGACATACAGAGACATACAGAGACACACAGAGACACATGGAGACACCCAGAGACACACAGAGATACACAGACATACAGAGACATACAGAGACACAGGGAGACACACAGAGACACACGTCTTACGCCACGTGCGGTCCTAAAGAGACACACGGAGACAGACAGAGACACACAGAAATACATTGAGACACACGGAGACACACAGAGACATACAGAGACACAGAGACATACAGAGACACAGAGACATAGAGAGACATACAGAGACACAGAGACATACAGAGACACAGGGAGACACAGAGACATACGGAGACACACAGAGACATACGGAGTCACACAGAGACACACAGAGACACACAGACACACAGAGACATACAAAGACACACGGAGACATACAGAGACACACAGAGACACACGGAGACACATGGAGACACACAGAGACACACGTCTTACGCCACATGCGGTCCTAGAAAGACACACGGAGACACACAGAGACACACTGAGACACACAGAGACACACGGAGATATACAGAGACACACAGATACACACAGACACCCACAGAGACACACAGAGACACAAAGACACACATAGACACACAGAGACACACAGAGACACAGAGAGCTACAGGGAGGCACACAGAGTTACACAGAGACACACAGACACACACAGAAACACACGGAGACACACGGAGACACACGGAGACACACAGACACATACGGAGTCACACGGAGACACACAGAGACACACGTCTTACGCCACATGCGGTCCTAGAGAGACACACAGAGACACACAGAGACATACAGAGACACACGAAGACACACAGAGACATACAGAGACACACAGAGACATACAGAGACACACGGAGACACACAGAGACATACAGAGACATAGAGAGAGACACAGAGACACACGTCTTACGCCACATGCGGTCCTAGAGAGACACACAGAGACACACGGAGACACACAGAGACACACAGAGACATACAGAGACATACGGAGACACACAGAGACATACGGAGTCACACAGAGACACACAGAGACATACAGAGACACACGTCTTACGCCACATGCGGTCCTAGAGACACACAGAGACACACGGAGACACACAGAGACATACAGACATACAGAGACATACAGAGACACACAGAGACACACGGAGTCACACAGAGACCCACAGAAACACACAGAGACACACGGAGACACACAGAGACATACAGAGACACACGTCTTATGCCACATGCGGTCCTAGAGAGACACACAGAGACACACAAAGACACACAGAGACAGACAGAGACACACTGAGACACAGAGACATACAGAGACACACGGAGACACACAGAGACATACGGAGTCACACAGAGACCCACAGAGACACACAGAGACATAGAGAGATACAGGGAGGCACACAGAGTTACACAGAGACACACAGAGACACACAGTAACACACGGAGACACACGGAGTCACACAGAGACCCACAGAGACACACAGAGACGCATCGAGTCACACAGAGACCCACAGACTCACAAAGAGACACGGGGAGGCACACAGTCACACAGAGACACACAGAGTCACACAGAGACCCACAGAAACACAGAGTCACACAGAGACACACACAGTTACACAGAGACACACAGACTCACCCAGAGTCACGCAGAAACACACAGATACACACAGAGACACACAGAGACCCACAGAGACACACAGAGACACACAACAACACACAGAGACACACAGAATCACACAGAGACGCACAGAGTCACATAGATACACATAGTCACACGGAGACACAGAGTCATACAGAGACACACATAGACACACAGTAACACACAGAGACACACAGAGTCACACACAGACACAGAGTCACACAGAGACCCACAGTAACACAGAGTCACACAGAGACACACACAGTCACACAGAGACACACAGACTCACAAAGAGACACAGGGAGGCACACAGTCACACAGAGACACACAGAGAACCACAGAGACACACAGAGACACACAGCAACACACGGAGACACAGAGTCACACAGAGACACACAGAATCACATATACACACAGAGTCACACGGAGACACACAGAGTCACACGGATACACACAGAGACACACATAGACACACAGAGTCACACACAGACACACAGAGTCACACAGAGACCCACAGTAACACAGAGTCACACAGAGACACACACAGTCACACAGAGACACACAGACTCACAAAGAGACACAGGGAGGCAAACAGTCACACAGAGACACACAGAGAACCACAGAGACACACAGAGACACACAGAGTCACACGGAGACACACAGAGTCACACAGAGACACACAGACTCATCCAGAGTCACGCAGAGACCTACAGACACACATATGCACACAGACACGCACAGACTCACACAGAGACACACGTGGCACGTGTGTGTGCGTGGTATGTGTGGTTGTGTGGTGTGTGTGCATGGTGTGTGTATGCTCTGTGTGTATGTATGCTGTGTGTATGCTGTGTGTGTATGCTGTGTGTATGCTGTGTGTATGCTGTTTGTGTGTGTATGCTGTGTATATGATGGGTGTGTATGCTGTGTGTGTATGATGTGTGTATGCTGTTTGTGTGTGTATGCTTTGTGTATGCTGTGTGTGTGTATGCTGTGTGTGTGTCTGTGTATGATGTGTGTATGCTGTGTGTATGCTGTGTGTGTATATGCTGTGTGTGTGTGCTGTGTGTGTATGGTGTGTGTATGCTGTGTGTGTATGCTGTGTGTGTCTATGATGTGTGTGTATGCTGTGTGTATGCTGTTTGTGTGTGTGTGTGCTGTGTGTGTATGCTGTGTGTGTCTATGATGTGTGTATGCTGTGTGTGTATGCTGTGCGTGTATGCTGTGTGTGTGTATGCTGTGTGTATGCTGTGTGTATGCTGTGCGTGTGAGTCTCACTTTGCTCCACGTGTACGCGTATCCGTCGACGTTGATGACGGGCACCACGAACACGTCCATCTCGTCCACAAGCCGCCTCAGCGTCTCGCTGGTGCCTTCAACCAGCTGTCAACCACCACCAGGCACACCCACAGTCGCCACCACCACCACCACCACCACCACGCACACAGTCACCACCACCACCACCACGCACACAGTCACCACCACCACGCACACCCACAGTCACCACCACCAGGCACACAGTCACCACCACCACCACCAGGCACACCCACAGTCACCACCACCACCACCACCACGCACACCCAAAGTCACCACCACCATCGCAACCACCGCCAACACCACCACCATCACCACCATCATAGCCACCAATCATTACCACCACCACATCATTCAAACTCAGCCCACTGAGTCGGTCATAGCAAAGCCAAAGCCAATCGGACATCAATCAAACTCAGCCCGCTGAGTGGACGATAGCAAAGCCACAGCCAATCAGGCATCAACAAACTCAGCCCGCTGATTGGATGATAGCAGATCCACAGCCAATCAACATCAATCAAACTCAGCCCGCTGAGTGGACGATAGCAAAGTCACAGCCAATCAGACATCAACAAACTCAGCCCGCTGATTGGATGATAGCAGATCCACAGCCAATCAACATCAATCAAACTCAGCCCACTGAGTGGATGATAGCCGAGCCACAGCCAATCAGACATCAATCAAACTCAGCCCACAGTGTGTAAAGATATGGCAACTACTGTACTGTAGCGGAGGCGATCGCATGCATTTCGGATTAACCGGAGCAAGATATTTGTTCGTTTTAAGCACCGTGTGACTCGTATTAAACATTTCCAAGAATAACGATGTTATGTAGCTGTTTTTAGATGAATAATTTGGGCTTAAGGGGAAACCCCACGAGCTATTAATGTACGTCGAAATCTCAGGTGGCGCGGTTAGTCCGCAAATCCGACAAACCGCACACGCCCGGATAATCGAGAGTCTGTGCCTCATATACCTGTACAGGGAAATTTAGTTTTGAGGTCCATACGGTGTACAGCCGTTTCAATACGGGCACATTTTTTTGTGGCTATTTTTTGTGTTTCTCCCTAGTGATGGGACTTTGTAGGATGAACTTTGAGATTTATAAGGGGCACAGGGTGACCAAATAAGGTCTGAATTGGTCCGTAATAAGGTAGGGCACTGATCAGGGGTTGATAGGTGTGAGTTTCTCCTCTAATAACCTCTCTGGGCGCGACCGTTGACTCACACAGAGACTCGCAGACTCACCACACAGAGAGCCATCGACTCACTCAGAGACTCACAGACTCACCACACAGAGAGCCATCGACTCACTCAGAGACTCACAGACTCGCCACACAGAGAGCCATAGACTCACACAGAGACCCACAGTCTCACCACACAGAGAGCCATCGACTCACTCAGAGACCCACAGACTCACCACACAGAGAGCTATCGACTCACTCAGAGACCCACAGACTCACCACACAGAGAGCCATCGACTCACGCAGATATTCAGACAGAGACTCACCACACAGAGAGCCATCGACTCAATCAGAGACTCACAGACTCACGACACAGAGAGCCATCGACTCACTCAGAGACTCACAGACTCGCCACACAGAGACCCATAGACTCACCACACAGAGACCCACAGATTCGCCACACAGAGAGCCATCAACTCACTCAGAGACTCACAGACTCACCACACAGAGAGCCATCGACTCACTCAGAGACCCACAGACTCACCACACAGAGAGCTATCGACTCACTCAGAGACCCACAGACTCGCCACACAGAGAGCCATCGACTCACTCACAGACCCACAGACTCACCACACAGAGACCCCTCACACAGAGACCCACAGACTCACCACACAGAGAGCCATCGACTCACACAGAGACCCACAGACTCGCCACACAGAGAGCCATCGACTCACTCACAGACCCACAGACTCACCACACAGAGACCCACAGACTCGCCACACAGAGAGCCATCGACTCACTCACAGACCCACAGACTCACCACACAGAGACCTCTCGCTCACAGACCCACAGACTCACCACACAGAGACCCCTCACACAGAGACCCACAGACTCGCCACACAGAGAGCCATCGACTCACTCACAGACCCACAGACTCACCACACAGAGACCCACAGACTCACCACACAGAGACCCACAGACTCGCCACACAGAGAGCCATCGACTCACCACACAGAGACCCACAGACTCGCCACACAGAGAGCCATCGACTCACTCACAGACCCACAGACTTTCCACACAGAGACCCACAGACTCACCACACAGAGACCCCTCACTCACAGACCCACAGACTCACCACACAGAGACCCCTCACACAGAGACCCACAGATTCACCCCACGCCGCCACCAGCCCCCGCCCCCCCCCCGAGCCAATAACAACGCGGTTACGATCCCGTTGCCACGTTTCGTCACGAGACCCCCTGCCGTGCCCGCTGCGCCTCTCTTACCTCCCTGACGAACCACTGGCAGAACGCGGTGGAGATCCACTCGCGTGCGTGGATCCCGCAGTCGACGAAGAATCCCTTCTTGGAGGCACCGGTCCTCCGGCTGATCTGCCGAGAGAAAGGGGAACGGGGAGGAGGGTGGAGGGTTGTAACGCGCGAGCGACTACACCGCCACCCGCGACTCACTCAGAGACCCACAGACACGATAGCGGTCGTCGATTGGCAACGGGGTCTTTTTCAACGGTTGTAAATTCAACTGGACTGGTGTCCGCGCTCTTTGGTTATTTCGGTTAAAAGTCACGAGGGTATGAAATGAAATGAGTCGCGACGTTTCGATTGCAACACAAGCAATCATCATCATCACTACACTATACACTGCACTACTATACACTACACTATACACTACACTACTATACACTACACTACTATACACTACACTAATATACACTACACTATACACTACACTATACACTACACTATACACTACATTATACACTATACACTACTATACACTACACTATACACTACTATACACTACACTATACACTACACTACTATACACTACACTATACACTACACTATGCACTACACTACACTATACACTACACTATACACTACACTACTATACACTACACTATACACTACTATACACTACACTATACACTACACCACTTTATTAATTTGACAGTCTGAACGCAGAGTCACTTCCCGTGAGCTGGGGGGTGCTGCCGTGTGAATGTTGCCCTCACCTGGCCAACACCGCAACCTGCACCTGATGGGTCATGGATACCGATGGGCGCTACTATACACTACACTATACACTACACTACTATACACTACACTATACACTACACTACTATACACTACACTATACACTACACTACTATACACTACACTACTATACACTACTATACACTACACTACAATACACTACAATACACTACACTATACACTACACTACTATACACTACACTACTATACGCTACACTACTATACACTATACTATACTTCTATACACTACACTACTATACGTTACACTTCTATAGACTACACTACTATACACTACACTATACACTACACTGTACACTACACTATACACTACACTATACACTACACTACTATACACTACACTATACACTACATTATACACTACACTATACACTACACTACTATACACTACACTATACACGACACTATACACTACACTATACACTACACTACTATACCATACCTGCCAACCCCTTATCAGTGCCCTACCTTACTACAGACCAATTCAGACCTTTTTGGTCACCCCGTGCCCCTTATAAATCTCAACGTTCATCCTACAAAGTCCCATCACACTGGAAAAAACACAAATAGACAAAAATTACGGGATTTCTTTCGCCCGTACTGAAACGGCTGTACGCCGTATGGACCTGAAAACTCAATTATCCTGTAAACGAGTGTGTGGGTGAGTGGCTGAATGAGTTATTGAGTGAGTGAATGAGTGGGTGATTGTGTTGAACAAGGTTGGAACTCAAGAGAACAAGAGAGGAGTGTGGTTTGCAAGGTTGTGATGCTTCGATGGGTACTCTCTTTGGTTCTATTCGGTAAAGTCACGTAAAAAAAAAACAACAAAAAATAAAATAAAAAAATTCACGACGTTTCGGCCACAACACAAGCGGCCTTCATCAGGTGAAGGGAGCAGACTGTCTAGAGGACAGCGCTGGAGTGAACACAGCCAAGCTCAGACCGCGACCTTTAAGCTGTGTGAGAGGAAGCAGAGCGCCTTGACAAAGGAATTAGCATAACAATTAGCATTTAATTGGCGGACTTAGCATGATGAACGATGTACAGGGGGGGGAGCATGTGCAGGTTGGCGAGGGGGGGAGGGGGAATTTACATATTGATGGTGTGAAAAGGGAATTTGAGCAGCTGCGAAAGTTTGGGATGCTACTACTTGAAAAAATATACTGTACCATTGAAAATTAGTTTCATGTTCGGTTTGATTCAGAACATCTTTCCAATGGTTGCTTAATTTGAAACCATCCTCTCGGTTGAAATTGTGTCTGTGCTTGTAGATCTGAATTGCCTCGTGGACAAATCTCTGATAAAAACCCGTGGGTTTGCAAAGAACCTTGGTATCGGAGAAAATTATATCGTGATCACCCACAGCGTTGTAACAGTGATCAGCCACGGCAGAATAATTAGTTCTGCCGTGTTTCAAATCCGATTTGTGCTCGCGAATTCGGTCAGAGACATGTCGTTTCGTCTCCCCGATATAGCAGTCACCACAGGTGCAGATCAATTTGTAAACTCCTGGGTACTCTAAGTCAGGAATGACATCCTTCACGGAAGGGATCAGGTCACGGATTTTGTGTACTGTATTGAACCGGACCAGGATCTTGTGTTTGTTTAGAATTTTGGAGATCTTTTTAGTAACGCCTGCTATATGTGGTAGTGTGATGGTTTTGACCGGAGTATCAAGTGGTTGTTTCTGTATGGAGGGAGAAACAGCTTGGCGGATGGTACGGTCAGAGTATCCATTCTTTTTTAGGGCCAGATGTACATGTTTTAATTCACTGGTCAGGTGGTGTTGGTCCGAAATGCAATGAGCCCTATGGTATAACGTTTTGATGAGATAATTATTTTGGGCTGGGTGGTGGTGGGAATCAGTTTCAAGTAGGAATCTGTGTGGGTGGGTTTCCTGTAGACAGAATGTCCCAATGAGCC